CAAAGCATCGGGCATTACCTGAGGTAATAAGACCAAAACAGGTAGTCGAGCAAACACAGGTAGTGGCAGTAACACAGGTAAAGGGAAACATCCTTCCCTATAAATTGAGACACAGAGTTTGAACTAATCAGTCTGAACTTTCTTCTCATATGTTTCGAATGTTTTATGCAATGAAAGTTCGAACTTATAGCATTCACAAACATATTTCTTGCAATGGAATCCGTGATAGTTCTAAACACATCCATCAATTCGCGGCATACGAGACGAGTACGCGTCAGCCTCGGCAGTGGCAAAAGAACCCCCGGAGTAATCTACTAATGGGCGGCGGTGCCTTACGCGTTATGAATTCGATTAGAGGCGGTTGTCGTGAACGGTCGGTGGCCTCACCCATTCATCTATGTTACGTGACTCCGCTAAGGCCTCGAAAAACCTCCTTCGGCTTTGAACGTAACTTTTTTTAGGTTATCAGGAATTTTGGTCGCAGAGTTGTACTTCAAAGATGCAGATTGTGCATGAAAACGAACGGACGCAACACTATTCAAATACTTATAGTAATAAGGGACAAGTTGCAATTTACTCTCACAACCTTTACATTTTCCTTTCATCGATATATACAGGGTGTTCTGAAAAGTTATGTGAATATTTGAAGACGATTCTGAGAAGGAGACTTTCATAAAACCATATCATGAAAGACTCCGTTCATGATATATCGGCGATAGTTGAACTTATTTTCTTGAATTTAATCTGCCTTCATTTCTAAATTTATCAAGTTCAAACGTCGCACAAAAATATCTGTTATCCACGAATATATACATGAAATGACTTTAAAAAGTATTGAACTTTTGGTGTTACTTTTTTCGGGCCTATTCGACACTTTCGAGTTTTTATACGATAACACCAGCTTCTTTTCCTGAAAACTGATACTCATTCTGTGATCAAACACTCTCGATTTAGATATTTGACACCGTTCAAAAGATACTTGTGGTCATAACTCGTTTGTTAACAAAAATTATCAGTTTCCTTGGCCATAAAGTCTTCATGGTATGTAAATATTCAAACCAATGAATACTAGATCGTTAATTTTTAATTTTTTTAATGTTAATTCTTAGTATAAATGCTAAACTAGTAATGAATATTTCTGGAGTTTTTTCCCAACACCAAACCGTTATTTTAACACCTCGACACATCGTCAAGACGATGGTGAGATTAATAAGATCAGTAATGATTCTTCATTGTGATATGTTTAAACATTTCAGCTACTATTCCAAATATCTCTTAAACGGGGTTAAATATGGAAATCGAACAAATGACGAGAATGATGGAACACAAAATGAGCAATTCAGTAGAACTGGCCGATACTTGACGAAAATCCATATTAAAAATAATTAATACAGTTCATTGTATGATTTTACTATAACGGGTTTTACAAAAACCGCGACACGTGTTTCGCTATACAATAGCTTCCTCAGTTTACGCTCGAGGAAGCTATTGTATAGCGAAACACGTGTCGCGGTTTTTGTAAAACCCTTTATAGTGAAAATCATACAATAAACTGTATTGATTAGTTTTTTAATATGAATTTTCATCCAGTTCTATTTAATTAATGAATCCTAAATGCAGGTTAGGTATAGATAAACTTAGTCGTTCTAAGAAAAATTTTACTAAATGTGAACTACTTATCTGCGTTAGGTGAAATAACTTTC